CCCTGGGGTGCTAAGTCTGGCGCTGAGTGTTGGTAGCTTAACGGACCTTCAGGAAGATCATCGAATATCAGCGCTTGGTACATCAGGCTGCATGTTGATCTGGCGCTGACATCACTGTTGCCGACATCGGTCATTCTTTGATGTATTATCAGGTATGATGATCGGCTGATCATCATACAGGCCCAAATCTGCGATGGGAACAATCTCGCTGAGAAAGTTCTAGTAGACTTCGCTGATTTCCCCTCAGAGGTCGATGCTGCCCTGGGGTGCGAAGTCTGCGCTTGAGATGCAGTAGAAACCCTCTAGTCTTCGGCTGCGACGATGGGATGTCTGGGGAAGCAGGACGCTTCTTGAGGCGGGCGGACTACGCCCCACTTCCACCACTCTAGCGAACACCACACGGAGGGGGTCGACCAACAGCAGTAGACTGGCGAGGGGTTCAGGTGTATCAGTCATGCTAGACTCTGCATACGCCGACTCCATCTGCTGCGCGCGCCTCAAACGCAAAGTAAATATTTATAAAAGGCAGAATTGATAAATTAGTACCGCGAACTGCAACGTGAATAAAATGAACATGGCGCAGTACAACTAGGGCATATTAAATGCGGATCAGCAGCAGAATAAAAAACGTAATCTGCAACAGTACAGAAGTTTCATCAACGTAATCTACTGAAACAAACACGGCGTCCCGTGAATAAACAGTAGAAACACTACTAAATATCAATATATAATTGTTGAAGGATACTAGCTAAACCTCTATAGATGTCTATACGAGGTAACTAACTAAATATAATCAAAGGATATAGTGTGTCGGAGACACAGGCGCTCTCACGTCCAGCTCACTGGGCGAAGAAGGAGAGAGTGAGGCACATGGGTGGAAGTGGCGCCCTCGTTCCCGCGTTTGTGGAAGAGAGGTAACTCGTGGTGAGTACTAATTAGTGATTTTACATTGAAGGGAGCTTCAATTAGAAGGGAGATACAAGCTTTTGTTCCACTATGTTCCATACCATTACTGAGTCAATCAAAATGATTCTTGTTGAAAAGTTAAAAGATTAACATGATTGACAATTTTATTCAGTCATGTCAACACCTAGCCAAATAGAGAACCCTTCAAACTTCCATGTACAAATCATGTAAATTGTCCCCCTTATACCAAATATATATACTTGAGTTGTGAATGACATCTCTATGACTTCACTTAGTCATTTCAATAGCTATCTTCAAATATGCTTTAATAACAAACACAAAAGTGCCATACAATGAATACTGAATGGTCACCATGGCAACTTACAATAAACAGAAAATATGAAATACACAAATATAACATATGTTAAACAGAAAATATACCTAGGAATCAAGAGCTTCATGCATAAGGTGAGAAAACAGTTTGAATCGTCAACAGCACCATCACAGACTGTAAAGCAGTGAATATGCATCCTACATTCAACTAGCCCTGAGATCATAAATGCGACAGTTTATCACTGGACATGCGTGAAGTCTCCTTCTGTTGTAGATTGTAGACTAAAGCCTCAGTTTTGGGGGGATAGTAAGCATGTATTGAGGTATTCAAATCAAACAAGGTTTTCTACTAGCTTCCCAGATAGCATTCAGACGTTTAGCCAACACTGCCAACGTTGGGACAATGTCCGAATGCTATCTGGGTTGAATAATGTTTGTTGTTTGATGCTGCACTCAGCAATATTCCAGGTATATGGCAGCAGTCTGTAAATAATCAAATCTGGACCCAGTGATCAACACCATGAGCACTCATCTATGCAATTTGGATAAGAAAACGTATCAACCAAGTCAGCAAGCCTGACCACCTGATTATGTTAGTCGCCTCCCACGACAAGCATTGGTTGATGAAGACCAATTCTAACACAGATCTTCACACATTAACAAAGTTACTATTGTTTGTGATAGGACAGTTTCTCCCTGTCCTACCAACCACACAAATCACCCCACCATCACCCTCCCAAATTCAGTTCCACCTGTCTTTTTTCTCAGCGTAGATTCGGGGAAATGACCGATTCCAAGGCAATGAACACAAATGGAATCATAACTCGCTCATAATATCAATCACTGGTTTGCTTGATCCAGGTTTCATTATTTCCAGGCCTGGCTTACCCGAATAATGATAACAGCGATTACCCTTTAAAGTTTGAATTTTGGATTGTTCGAAGGATAATATTAACAAAACTTGTCTTGGCAAGTGGTCTAGGGCTATTTCCATGCTTGGTGTACTTTCAACTATATTACAGTTATCACAGAATGTCGGCATAAGGATGGAGGAGGAACTGAAGTGATGTACAAGACGCAGGTCTCAGATGTTTCAATGCTTGATGAACCAAATGAGCACGTCACTGAAACCTTGAAGCAGGGTTTATCATGGACTTTAACCATTGATCATAGGTGTGAGTGTGTGAGTTTAGTTTTACGCCACTTTTAGCAATATTCCAGCAATGGCACATGGGTGGAAGTGACGCCCTCGTTCCCGAGCTTGTGGAAGAGAGGTAACTCGTGGTGAGTACTAATTAGTGATTTTACATTGAAGGGAGCTTCAATTAGGGAGATACAAGTGTTCCACTATGTTCGCAAGAAGACTGACTGACTGACTGAGTTTGGTTTTACGCCGCTTTTAGCAATATTCCAGCAACATCACGGCGGGGGACACCAGAAATGGGCTTCACACATTGTACCCATGTGGGGAATCGAACCCGGGTCTTCGGCGTGACGAGCCAACACTTTAACCATTAGGCTACCCCACCGCCCCTGTTCGCAAGAAGAAGAAGACAAGCAATAAGCATGAGTCAGGATAAGGAAAAATATATTTTATTGTTTAAAAACATGCGTATACAGTTTCCAGATATTGAACATTGGAAAACCCATCATTTTGGGCAAAAACATCTCCGGAATCAAAATGATTCACCATCAGCACAAATACCCCTCATCACAAACATACCATTACTGAGTCAATCAAAATGATTCTTGTTGAAAAGTTAAAAGATTAACATGATTGACAATTTTATTCAGTCATGTCAACACCTAGCCAAATAGAGAACCCTTCAAACTTCCATGTACAAATCATGTAAATTGTCCCCCTTATACCAAATATATATACTTGAGTTGTGAATGACATCTCTATGACTTCACTTAGTCATTTCAATAGCTATCTTCAAATATGCTTTAATAACAAACACAAAAGTGCCATACAATGAATACTGAATGGTCACCATGGCAACTTACAATAAACAGAAAATATGAAATACACAAATATAAAATATGTTAAACAGAAAATATACCTAGGAGTTTCATGCATAAGGTGAGAAAACAGTTTGAATCGTCAACAGCACCATCACAGACTGTAAAGCAGTGAATATGCATCCTACATTCAACTAGCCCTGAGATCATAAATGCGACAGTTTATCACTGGACATGTGTGAAGTCTCCTTCTGTTGTAGATTGTAGACTAAAGCCTCAGTTTTGGGGGGATAGTAAGCATGTATTGAGGTATTCAAATCAAACAAGGTTTTCTACTAGCTTCCCAGATAGCATTCAGGACGTTTAGCCAACACTGCCAGCGTTGGGACAATGTCGAATGCTATAATGTTTGTTGTTTGATGCTGCACTCAGCAATATTCCAGGTATATGGCAGCAGTCTGTAAATAATCAAATCTGGACCCAGTGATCAACACCATGAGCACTCATCTATGCAATTTGGATAAGAAAACGTATCAACCAAGTCAGCAAGCCTGACCACCTGATTATGTTAGTCGCCTCCCACGACAAGCATTGGTTGATGAAGACCAATTCTAACACAGATCTTCACACATTAACAAAGTTACTATTGTTTGTGATAGGACAGTTTCTCCCTGTCCTACCAACCACACAAATCACCCCACCATCACCCTCCCAAATTCAGTTCCACCTGTCTTTTTTCTCAGCGTAGATTCGGGGAAATGACCGATTCCAAGGCAATGAACACAAATGGAATCATAACTCGCTCATAATATCAATCACTGGTTTGCTTGATCCAGGTTTCATTATTTCCAGGCCTGGCTTACCCGAATAATGATAACAGCGATTACCCTTTAAAGTTTGAATTTTGGATTGTTCGAAGGATAATATTAACAAAACTTGTCTTGGCAAGTGGTCTAGGGCTATTTCCATGCTTGGTGTACTTTCAACTATATTACAGTTATCACAGAATGTCGGCATAAGGATGGAGGAGGAACTGAAGTGATGTACAAGACGCAGGTCTCAGATGTTTCAATGCTTGATGAACCAAATGAGCACGTCACTGAAACCTTGAAGCAGGGTTTATCATGGACTTTAACCATTGATCATAGGTGTGAGTGTGTGAGTTTAGTTTTACGCCACTTTTAGCAATATTCCAGCAATATGACGGCAGGGGACACCAGAAATGAATATTGAACCCATGTGAGGAATTGAACCTGTGTCTTCGGCATGACGAGCGAATGCTTTAGTTTAACGGCAAGATTACAGAATACCGGATACCTATCCGCCATTTTTATTTTGATTGCGCATTTATTTTTGCGCACTTCCGTTTTGTTTCCTTAGCAACGGCATGCCATGAATGAAGGCTGTTTTGAAGCAGCATTCAATATTAAATACTAAATATTAAACAATATTAAAGCTAAAAAAAGGTAAGATAATGGGGGTAAAGGGGGTACCCCTCTTTATTTAAAAGCCTTACCTACCTTACCTTACCAATCAAAAAACACTTACCATCAGAGTGTTCCCACACCGTAGAGTTCCTTTTCCCAGCATGCATTTGAATATAATTCAACACACGATTACTTTTTACTCTGTTTACGTCAGTGAACGCTGTTAAAATCCCCAGTTTAGGTTTCCTAAACCGGAAGTAAGGTGAGGAATTCGATTTTAACCTTATTTTTTACCTTAAATTCGTATTTTTATTGGATCGCTCGCAGGCTTGCGCTCTCTGTTTCTTCTATATATAGGAGCCTCACGCGCACAATAGAATGTATATAATTAGGTATCCGGTATTCTGTAAGTGTACCAGTTTAACCAGTAGCCTACCCCACCGCCTGATCACAGGTTCCTGACACAACTAAGGGGAGCAACTCTGTACAGAACACTGCATGTCTTAGATGACTTACCTCAGCCCCACATATACAGATAGAGAAAATAAGTTACCTTTCCAGTTATGTACATTATTATGTAGTACAACAATCATAATCATCATAATACCAGAACAATTCTTTTCATCACAGCTAATAACCAGGATTTCAATTATTTTCATCAAAGGCACTGTAAACTAAATTGACTTTGTCAGACACACGCGTTTGCAACCAGTGTGTGAAAATTCTTTCCCTGAATTCAACTTGAAAAATGACATTTCTTGAACAACATCTGATACAGCCTTTTTGTCGACATTCAGACCTTTTTTGACAATGTCTTTTTTAATACATTGCACAGTGTGGTACCTTTCTAATGGCAGGAAAGGGACAAAAACATCTACGACTCTTTGTGGAACAAATTTTGTATACCAGAGTGGCTTCTCTGTCTGAAACACATGAGAAAAGTCGTCAATTGTAATATCATCTCTGTGACGACCAGCTGACAGCAACTGAAATACATGCTTGTTGATTTCAGCTCCTTTGGAATTGCTCAGCAAGAGAAATATAACAGGTGTGTCAGTTGCATTTTGATTGACAATCATGTTGACAGATTCATTCAATCCTTGCAGAACACCATCCGATGCCTTGTCCATTTCATCAAATATCACAAAATTGATGTAACATCGAGTGATGTTTGTTTCAATCCATTCTGGAATTTGTTGAGCATATACATCATCTTGGGAGCTATGAGGAAAATGAAGGGGAACTAATAATTTGTTTACTGTTGTGTATGGAAAGAAATCAGACACAATTTTACTGACATAATTCTTTCCAACGCCAGTCCAACCATGAAGCGATATCACAAGAGGTTTCTGTGATGATCTTTGGTGCATTTCTGTCAAATACCTGTTAATGAGATCAGGTATGATCTCTGTCGCAAGATGCTGGCCGTACACTTTTGACCTCAAGTCTCTCTTGAGGTCACTCACATCAAAGTCGGCAAAGGTTGAGCAAGTGGACTGAATCACTTTTAAAGCATACACTGAAAGACACATTCCAAGAAAGATGTTGAACACTATGAATGACTTGGATGTCACTCTATGACTCTTAGATGTAGTATCTGAGGTAGTTCGGGTCGTATGATGGGACAGTTTTCTTTTCTTTTCAGCAGTAGGTTTGCATAGAGACCGTAGAGGACTGGAACGATGACCTTCTTGGACATTTTCTGACAGTCTTGGCATTCTTGGTGGAGGCTGGGAATGGTGTTTGCCTTTCCTATCACTCTTTGGTTCCAGAGATAGACGTTTCGGACTTGATCGAGCTGGTGATTGGAAAGGTACGCTGTGTCGTTTTGACAGTCTGTGACTTGCTGACGAATACTTTTCTCTGCTTTCTTCATTTCCTAAACTTGTACCATGATCAATTATTCCAGTATTCATAACAGGTTCCGACTTGTCTGTAGATGTCTTTGAGATCAGTCCCCCGAAAAATGATGCCATGGATCCTGACATGGTCCCTGTTGAAAATGGATTGACACTGTTAACAATTTCAGACCTGTCTTGGAACCTTGGAACAGAGTTTGTTACCATAGTAACCTGTCCATCATCATCCCCATCAGAAAAACCTTCCATACTTTTTTCACTCTCTTTTGGGGAAAGCGCCTCATGTGCACGAAATCCTGAGAATGAATTCATCGCGGAGAAGACATTTCTGCATTTGTTCCAGTTTGATTCTGGAGTTCGTAAATTCGAATGGAACTGGTTCTCAAAATTGTCTTGAGTTACCATGGCAACTGGTTGAGGGACAGGTGGTTTGTATGCCACGGTGGTTGATGTAGGGCTCTTCCTGAATGCAGCAATGGTGTTGATGTTGGAGACGGCTCTCTGACAAGATTCCCAGCCTGAGTGCTGCATCGGGGAGTCTGGTGAGGCGACATCTGGGTCACTATCACAGTCCATGGATTCCATGGCGACCTCAGCTCTCATCAACTCAGACACTCAAATCTGAAATAAGATACCTTGTGTAAGAACATATTCATGCAACAACTGGCCTCTATGGACATATTCTAACCCTAAATATCCATGAACCTATCAAACATTTAGTCCAATATGAAATCTCTGTGTGTAAAGCCCTGATAACACTTCCATGAAGATGCATTTGATGAAGTTTGTAACAAGCCATTGAGATTCAAGACCTGTACATTCTCAGTAAGACTTTTACTAAGAGTGACAGATGAATTCAGACAGGCCAGCATCTGAGTTTTTGTTCTAAAAATATGAAATTAAATGACATGCCGAATGTAAATGATCAGGGTTCACCTAATGTGGAGGTGTTGTCAGAACGTGACACAGAAACCAGTGTTCACTAACACATAGTGGTGTTTATATTTAGATACGTTAGACATCAAACAGCGATTTAGACAGCGTAGAGCAGCGATGGGTTCCTAAGTGGGGTCATGTCGATCTTCATTGAAGCACCCAATCTCAGCCCTCGTAAACGCTTTGAGTGGAATTCTGGCCTAGATCAGTGAGATTTGTTTGTCTGTCAAATATCAAAATGTGAACCTGAAATTATAAGAGCAACAAATCTTGAACTTAGTTGAAAATGGAAACCTCCAAATACTGCTGAAGTGCCCAACACAGTCTTCGTTTTTCAGTTTCAGTCAGCTGATCACAACCATTAACAGTATGTGAAATACCACACAACCAATTGTTGACTGAGTTCTTTGCAGATATGAAAATTTTACGTACGACAATTCTCCGAATGTGAGTGTTAGTATCAAGCATACGTGTATGTATTTCATTAGCTCAACATCACTGCGATCGTTCACACTTTCCAATGTTTCGTCATGTGCGTTGAAAGTGACGGGCAATTATCATCCAATGAAATGTCGTGACACATTTTCCACGGAAGTTTGTGCTGACCAATAGAAAGTAAGGAACAAAGACATTGTAATCATATTCGACAGAAATATTTCACTATGCTGATAATCGTCAAACGAATAGAACATGCTTAGCCAACTGCATAAAAAGTAATAGAAACAGCCAAATGACAGTCACCAGAGGTATAAACACGTGTAACGTTGTGTCAGGTACATACTTTGAGCCAAATATTATCACAGATCATATATTATAGCAAAGAAATGCACACCCTTGTCCCCCTGGGATATTATCATATAACTCGTCATATCTTTTTCATTATTTGTTCAAAGAATAATAAAGCACTAGGTAAATAGTAATAGAGTGCTATTTGAGTTAACTAGACAGCTTCAACTTTATAATAATCTGACAGGCCAAACAAAAATAAAAATAAAATTCAGATCGTTTAAAGGTTGTGAGCGACTCATAATTCATACTTGAGGTAAGTACTATTTTCTGTGTTGTGTATAGAAACGGCGTCAAAATGGCGGACGATGGACGTATATATGGCATATACCCATACAAATATGTGATTAAAGTGAATGTATGGAACTGTCATTACACATGATCATTAAGGTATTTTGAGAAACATTTACAGGCTAATTTCAAATGGTGTACATGTCTATGAAACACCGATAAATGAAATAACACTGTAATTTTCAGGTGTCATGTTGCAGAAACCTGATTAGAATCAGTTTTTGATAACACAGTTTTTCATGACAACTATGCACTATGTAAACATGTTTCTTTTAACTTAACATAGATTGCTTTGAAGCAACTAAAGTACATATTTTGTTTTAAAAGCGGACAGATCTAACTGGTCACATACATATAAACATAAATCAAAACGAGTATGTTTGACATTAAACTTGTGAACAAGTTTTCGGTCTGATATTTCTCTGCTGTGTTTTGACAAATAGCTGTCCATGTGATCGGCATCCCTCACGGTATAGTTCGTGTTGCGTCAGATGCTGACAGATTCTTTCATTACACATTGTATTCTTTATTGATATACCTATTTTATTACATGATTTACATGATTATATGCAGGTATGTCTTGAAAATACTAATGCTAAAACCTAGTTTTCATCAAAGACAGTTTGCATAGAATAAAGTAAAAGTATTTCTGTGATAACGTAGAAAAAGTGTCTGTGAAACAGTACAGTCCTCTCAAATAGAAAAGTTATGGCAAAACAAAACCCCTATTTTACAAAGAAAGGTTTGTGGAGGGATTTATTTCAACCTGCTCAGGGGTCTTCAGTATGCAGCAAATGTCCTAATTTGAATTAACCTTTTCCCAGTTTCTAAGAATTCACAAAAGTAAGAGTATTAGAAAATGTCCAAATTTGATCATTATCATGATTTTTCCAATATGCCTGTAATTTGGAATTCTAGTAAAATCCTTGTGCTGTGTTACAGCGATGACTGAAATTTGGTTAACATGTAGCTATAACATTGTAGGAGGATTGATTGTAGCATAAAATAACATTCTTTCACTGTATAGAGTTTCTGATTATATGTTGTAATCTTTGTCACATTCAGCAAAACCACTTCTATATCTTTGTAGTTTTTACATAAACCAGTGGTCTTTGGGGTTCATGAACCTGATTGGTAATTCTATTCAACCAATACACAGTTCATTTGGCTCTTCCAGCAAGAAAAAGGTTCTGGTGACAACTTTGCATTTAATCCCTGACATCCATGTACTGAGATTAGTTAGAATATGTTTGTATTCCAGGCAAGTGGCACTGTGAAATCAGTGACGAAAAACACAAGCAATGCTGTAATGCCCTGAATTCACAATGGAACTACGACTACCAGCGACTCACTTCAGCTCTCCTCTACTGGGGAGCTACAGTCTGCCAAGTCTTGCTGAAGGCAGTGAAGCTATCAGTGAAGCAGAGGAAATCCACGAGGTAGGATCCCCTAAAATATGTTTCCCGTAAATTAACCCCATCAGTTTGTTTTCTCCAGATGTGCCAACTTAGCCCCATCCTGGTGTTCATCAAAAATGTCACCACAATACATCTGAAGTGCTTCACTTCATGTGTTCCCTTCAATAACTTGTGAATATCTTACTGACATGAGATTATCCTTTCTCAATCAAGTAAGTGTGCAAAAACCCAACTTGCACAAACTACCTACTCTATTTTGGGATGAGCTGAAATAGGGTATATGTTCGTGGGGTGGTGCTCGAGTGACAGTCCGTTTTGTATGTCTAGAGACTTAGAGGCTTTAGAATGTCCTCAGCAACCTGTTTTTGTACCCACTGGGTGTGTGATGGTGCTCAGAACATCAATCACTGGTTTGTAGATTTTGTTATTAATAGTCTGCTCCGTATTGCTGAGTGGGGAATTAAACAATATACCTATGTAAAAGAATGCAGAATTTTTGGTCTCATTTTACTCATTTTATTGAAAATGAATAGAAAATTGGATAAATAAAATATTCAATGGCATAGAAACTTAACACATTTAATTGTCATGTGGTTGTTTATTCCACAGGTGAAGTCTCTTCAAGAGAAAGGTAACAAAGCCGTGAGGGCCAAAAATCACACTGAAGCACTGAGGTATTTCAGTGAAGCTCTGGACATTGACCAGGGCAATGTTGGTGTCCTGCATGACCGTTCCTTGGCCCTGCTACAGATGGGCAGGTACAACGAGGCCCGGGTGGATGCGGAGGCGGTCATCATGATGAGTCCTGGGTACTCACAGGTGGGTCTGTCTACTCCTTCAGTATTCTGATGTGGGGCGGTGGGGTAGCCTAGTGGTTAAAGCATTGGCACGTCACGCTGAAGACCCGGATTTGAATCCCCACAAGGGTACAATGTGTGAAGCCCATTTCTGGTGTTCCCCGCCGTGATGTTGCTAGAATATTGCTAAAAGCGGCGTAAAACCAAACTCAGTCAGTCAGTATTCTGATGTGGTGGAATCCAAGCAGATGTCAAGTGTTTATTCTTTGTGCGACTCTTTTCAATCTTGTTGACATTCATGGAATATAATTCATTAATGACTTGAATCAGGACAATAAACTTCTAGAGTCACTAATCAAAATATGAGTCCTCTTGACAGCATAAGTGTCAGCCTTTCAATTAATCCTCTTGGTCATCAGTAATCAGTTTTTTTATTTAGGTAAACACATCTTTTTGTTTGAAGATTACCATGGTCTACCATTGACAGCATTATTTTAGAACAAAAACATCACATTCTTTTTTTTCCCTTGCATGTTCAGTGGCGGCCATATTGAATACGCAGAGACATATTGCCAGCGATGCAACCATTACCATTTTCGTAGAATCATGATATTTTTAGATACATTCTTTAAGTGATGTATGTTACAAATTTTGTAATAAATATTGCCAGTAATGAAACATAGTAATTGACCTGGCTACAATAAATAAATAGTCAATTACTAATCAGTTGAATTTCTTTGTGATGGAGTTTTACACATTTTAATGTGTTTTCTTATAAAGTTTCATGCAAAAGAGTTTACACAGTCAATTATGCTAATACTGATTACTTATTATTTGTAAAATACCGAAACAAAATCTAATGTTATTGCTTTGGTTTGGGTACACCTCAGAATTAATACTATGCCTGTCAGTTGTTTAAATGCGCTCTGTAATTTGGGATGGCATGGTCAAGAATGAGTAGACTTGGTACTGGCTGGTTATTGGGATTGACCTAGCTGTATGTCATCAATTCTCTGTTGCCGTGATTTTGCTCATGCTATGAACCACTTGTTTTCCAAATTGACACTTAATTAATTACAGGCAATATGCATATAGGCCAATACTCTGATGTTTTGGTTTTGTTTTTCGTTATTCAGGGACATCATGTTCTGGGGCTCTGTCTTCACCATCTCAACCAGAATAAGGAAGCTCTTGTTTCCTTCCTTACTGCTCTTGACCTTGACCTTGATGAAGCTGACAGGCTGACCAATCATATTGCATCGGTAGCTTCTCACCTCTGTGATATGCCATCAGAATTCAGAAAAAGTCTTAAAGGTTGGTTTGTGAAAGTGTCTAGTTCTCCCAATCAATGCAACGTTAAGATGATAGTATCAGACATTGACTCATTGTCATTCAGTATGTCCAGTTACTCATTCATGTAAAATAGAATCAAGCTCGTGTCAATGAGAATCACACGCTTCATGGAAGTTGCCATTTATTCATATAAGAAGTAGGATTTATCAAAAACTATGAATCAACAGGAATCAGCTAGTCAAAATTTTGTTACGGAATCGGAATCAAGATGTTTCAAACACCTTCTCACAATTCATATCATGTCATATTGCAGACTTTTGTATAAAACAACATTGGTTTACCCATTGATGTGAGGGACAGTGGGGTAGCCTAGTGGTTAAAGCGAAAGACCCGGGTTTGATTCCCCACATAGGGACAATGTGTGAAGCCCATTTCTGGTGTCCCCAGCCTTGATATTACTGGAATATTGCTGAAAGCGGCGTAAAACTAAACTCACTAGCTGACTCACTCACTCATGTAATATAGTTGAAATATTGCAGCCCATGGATTAAAACAATGTTCCTTCACTCAACATTTGTAATGATCTATGTTTTCAGACATGGACGCCTACAAAAACTCAGTGAAGTTGGCGTGTGCCTCTTCCAGAGCAAGAAGTTTGATTTGTGCATCCAAGTTCTCGAAGCAGCTCAGAAGTTTCAGACAAACCAGAAAGGAATTACGATGAAAATACTTCTGACGATGGCAAACGCTCACACAAGTGTACGTCAGAGAGAACAGGCTATAGGTCTGTACTTGGACTGCCTCTCAATGGCCGTTGCTACTCATGACCAGTTGTATCAGACCAAGTCGTTGGTCAATGTGGCCACCCTCTATCTCGAGAATGGAGACACCTACCAAGCCATAATATACTATGAGAAACTGTTGCATCTGAAAGCCGAGCTCCTCACAGAGGTGGGACACTATGAAAACTTGCCTGACTTTTGGACGAAGGAGCTCCAGTGTGGGTTGCATCTGAATCTCAGCATCGCGTACAAGTCTATCGGGAATATGCACTCAGCAGTTTATCATGCACAGAAGTATAACAGTTTCATGAAAGAGTTTGGCTTCACAGGAAGAACTTTGGCAGAATCTCATCACAATACTGGGATGCTGAATGAGATTTTGGGAAATTATAAAGAAGCTCTTGAACAGTATCAACTGTATTTGAATCTGTCACAGAAAAACCAAAACAGGAAGGGTATTGCACAGGCTTACGGCTGTATGGGAACGGTCTATGCTGCTCTGAGAAACTGGACTTTGAGTATTACGTACCACGAGCAGTACATCAATATGGCTGCCAAATTTGGTGATAAGCGTATGCTTGCTATCGCTAATGAGATGCTGGCTGATTCATACATGCTTAAAGAGGATCATGAATCTGCTGTGAAGCATTATGAGGCAATGCTGAAAGCATGTGCTCGGACCGACAGTCGGACAAAGTGTACAGGGTTGTGTAAGCTCGGTAGTGCGTATCGTGCTCAGTCGAAGAAGCAGTATAGCTTGTATTTTTACGAACAAGCTTGTGACATTGCAAGGGATTATGGGTACACAGACATCCAGACAATGGCTGAATACAACATCGCTTGCATCCAGCAGGCGTCTACACAGATGCAAGACATCGAACAGGCCTTGAAATATTTCCAGAAACTTATTCCGTTACGAAACAAAGATCAGGGAACATGTCGATGAGGGTACTCACAGGCCGGCTGGATATGACGAACAGCTTCTGGAGTGTTATGACGGCATCCAGTCTGTTCTAAGCAAGCTTGGGAACAAGGAGGAGGGTCTTCAGTTTGCTGAGGCATTCAGGAAGCGCACTGTCACCCAGTTACCCAATTATGCATCAACCTTAGGGCAGACTATTCCGAGTACACTTGCATTGCGGAATATGTGGACTGTTGAGAGGATGAATCGCTCAGTCAGTCAGCAGAATGGGACTGTATTGTATTATTCGCTACTGGATTCATCACTGTTGCTATGGGTACTGCAGCCTGGCAGGGGATTGGTCAGATTCTATACAGGAAGAGCTGGAAAGGATATGTCAATGCGAGATCAGGTATGGCATTTGCAACTGTATCATAATTGTCTGTTCTCTTCTGGGGCAAGGGGCCTGGGATTTTTTCGGCAAAACAATTGTCCTTAAAAATGTTTGGAAAAGAAGTATAATGCTTCAGACTAGTTCTGTATTCGTGCTTTGAAAATTGTCTGGTACCCCATTTTTAGTTTGATACCCCTACTGTTTAACATGAGATTTCTTCAGGTATTGAGTAACCTGGAGCCTCAAGATAACAAACCCAGGTAAATCCCTGGATCATTCTGACATCAATATGTTTGGTCTGTCACTTTCATGTCAGTCCTATAGGGATTCATGTCTGGTACTGGGACCTTGCAACCTAAGCCGACCGCTGCCGCCATGTTACGTGTCTTACAGACACCTACTACAATACATGTAGTATTAGTTGTCAAAATATCACTGACGATATAGTTTACTTGACTTCGTTCAATGGCGGACATACAGTACACAACAACTGGTGACGTCACACTCTAAGAGTAGGGGAGGTGACTCTCAGCTGGTTACACAAGTTGTATACCACATAACAGATTCGACTTAGTAGATTCTTCAGTCAAGCTGATTGATTGTGTCATGGTTCCGTGAAGGCAAGGATTGATGCTCATGCTGTCGATCACTGGATAATACAGGTTTAGTTGTTTTACTAGTTGCCTTCCATACAGCTGACATATTGTTGAGGTCGATGTTTAACAACAAACACATTCATGATTAAGTTATTTGATATAGTCAGTATATACTGAGAGAAACAAATAAAGAAACACAGGAAAATTCAAGTGTTTCTTTAATATTTTCCAGTTTTCATCACCAGCTTTGAATAGTGCTGTTGGAAGAAATGTAAGAATAGATAAAGGAACACTGCCATGAAGTGGTGTTCCTTTAATTGTTTCCTACAGTATATTATCTAATTATACATTGATCAGTGTCTGTGATGCCCATCTGTGGAATGTTTCGTGTTTATTTCAGATCCAGACTCTGATTGACGAAGTGCTGTCAGACTTTGACAAGGAGAACCTTATCAATGAATGTGAAAACAAATCCCTCCCACTTCCAGATTCAAACTTGAATAATATCCGCAAAACCAACATGAAACTTGCCAAACAATCTGAAGAAACAGATACTTCCAAGGCATCAGAAAAAGACAATTCTTCACCGAAAACCAAGAAATCTGCATTGAGGCAACTCTACAATATACTATTTGCACCAGTTGAAGATATTTTGTCTGGCCTGGATACCATGAGCCATTTGCTGATTGTTCCGGATAAGGAACTACGTCATTGTCCATTCGGAATTCTCCAGGACTGGAACGCCAGGTACGTGATGGATCGGTTTCGGATAACTTTTCTTCCCTGTATCCTCCTACTAGACAAAGTCCTCCAGAACGAGATGGACCATCTCCGACACCAGGACCAGCTAGAGTTTGACCGGTCCCAGTCTCGGAAAGGAGGGACCAACAAAGTTATTGCTCTACAGAAGAGGGAGAGTTTGTTTTCTGAGATCATCACACCATGTGATCTCAGCATGTCCAGTCTTGAGAGAGTCAATCTCAAGCATGTCTCCAATCCGAGACTGTACACATCAGGGGTTTTGGCAACTCCAGACAAGGGAAGGAACTCTCAGGTAGCTTTGAGCAGGGAGGCAACTTTTCAGTCTCAGCTGTCCAAGGCAGAGAGCCGGAGGGGTGAGGTTGGTCTTGAGGGTGTATCACCAAGACCTTACCCGGTGGTTGGTCGACCGGTGTCACCAGAGAAGATGCTGAGCACACAGACGTACACCACTCTGACGACACGGACATCCACCGGGACGGACATCACGACGTCAAGTCAGATGGTGACGCTGTATCAGCAGATCAGTAGCATGGAGCGATGTTTGGTGTACGGATGTCCGGATATACAGGACAGGTGAGTATAGGAATTCTACATGGAAGCTTTTCAACAGTATGGGAATATCTTCAAAGTTTGTTGAATTTTGTCATGATATATACAGAATCAGAGACATACAAATGCGTAGTAAATGTATACATTCATCCAACGTACAGATCATCATCCCAAACTGGCTCCCAAAGCAAAGTACTAAAATTGATTTTTAGCTATGCTTGTTGCCTGATGAAGACATTTTCAAGCCATATCAGAAGTTTTATACTTAAAAATGGTTTTCATAGGCAGTGTTAAGATTGTTGCATGTTTGGCATCTCTGAATGTGATCAAATTGCGTTGCAAGGGAAAGGTAAATGTTCTCTTGCCAAGGATCCCATAAACAATTGCAACAAATTTCAACACCTGCAACTTCAATTTGACAATCTGAATACCCTCCCCCATCCACCTTGCCTCTCCCTTTTCTCTCTCTCTCTGTCTGTCTGTCTCACTCTCTCTCTCTCTCTCCGTCTCTCCTCCTCCCTTGCCTTCTCCTGTCTGTGATGTCTGAGTGTTGTGTGTATAGTGTGGAGCTCCGTGGTCAGCCGTGGAGACCGAGGTGTGACCTTGACAACACCAGGAAGGAGCTGCAGCAAGTAGCTGAGTGTCTTGATGTCGACCCGGTGGTGGGGACCGACGCTACCAAGAGCAGCTTGCTGCAGGATCTACAGAAAGCCACTATTGTCCACATAGGTAAGGAAGCATGGATGGATTTGAAGCCAAAGATATATCTTTAACACCTGACCATTCTATCAGTATAAGTCTTCCAGAGGCAAGTTAGTTGACTATGGAACAGGGCCTAGATTTTCGAAGCTCTCTTAGTGCATAATATACTCGTCAGTGCCATACATTAACATTAACTTACAACTATCTTAGCACTAAGAGGGCTTAGAAAAACTAGGCCCTGGACTATATAAATCCAGTTTGCCCACTTGCTGAACTGGGCTGGAATTTTGGCCTTGATCTGAACACCACCATTAACTGATAAAAAGTGATACAAGCTATAACCATTCTCTGCCCCGTCTACTGATGCGTCATTCCAACACTCATGTCACTTGTACTTGTTTCAAAACATTCCAACACTCATGTCACTTGTACTTGTTTCAAACAAAATTGTGGCCTCCAGAGAAGACAATCTCATCAAGATCTGTATTGTAATCATGCAAATAGTGAGTGCATCAAATCACTTGATCTTGCTTAAAAGATTGGAAAATATCTGTTGACACCTAATTGATGATACTTATGTTTTGCGAATCCTTCAATTGACTGACATCTGCATGGCATTCACCGTGTTGTATATGTACTTGATATGTTGATTTTGCAACCTGACGTTGATTGGATACATAGACTCGTCAGACACTTCCAAATATGTCTCCGAAAATCCTTGTTCTGTGAGGATGGAAACTGGCATTAATAGGGACCTATAGTCTGTTTGCAGTGATCACGTACCGATGAATTTCACTTTAAACAAAAAAGTAAAACAAATAAAGTGAAATTAAGACTGCGAATCCTCATAATTTTACCATGCCAATTGAACATTTAAATCTCAGAAATTAAATCAACTGAGGGTAAAAGTTGTTTAACAAACGATCATAGTTTCAGATCCCTATTACTGGTTTGTATTACAAGGGGGTAAGCGCAGTAGTTGGAACAGCGAAACAAATTGCACGTGCGATACGTGATGAGCGTTAACTTAGACCAACTCTACTTGTTCTCGGTGTGTCATTTAATGTGCATACCCCCTTGTAATACAAACCAATAATAGTGATGTAAAACTATGATCGTTTGTTAAAGAACTTTTATCCTAAGCTGAATCAAATTCTGATATTTAAAGGTCACATGCAACGTAAAACACAACTTTGCAGATTCTGATACCTTTCGGTATGGACTTACCGAAACAAAGCGTCAAAAATGCAAATTCAACTTATAAAGTTGAAAAATAACGCGATGAAAAAAAAACGCGCGAAATCGACTTTTCGGGGGAATACGGGTTTCAACAGCTGGGCTGCGCTCATAGCACGTGCGCAGTGAAATAGTTTCTCGCAACTTGGAAGCAGGCTGTCTGGTGAATACTCGGTGAAGGCTTTGGTGTGAGCTTTTTTCCTAATGTTTTGTTGATATCTCACAGGCGTGAGCTTTTTATATGTAATGACAGTAAATTAACTGTTTATATAATTTCATTTGTCTATTTCACCACAGGTTCTTCTTACCGAGTCACTTTCTCAGTTCGATACCAAAAGCAATGTCATTATTTAGCGTTGACACAATTTCTAACTGTGATATAGATATGTCGCTGTCACAGACAAAACTCAATGTCTTGTTTTATTGACACCTGTGTGTCTGCCTGCCTGTCTGCTAATGACAATATTCAATACACTACTGCGATCACTGACCACATGCAATTTGAACTTAACACCAATCAGGCTATACACCATAAACAAAATGCATTGATTTATGGCCCGAGTTCGGTCTCTGTCACATTATGTAATTACACAGACAGGCAGGTGTGATACTTGAACACATGACATGTTATGATGTCTGTTGATTGCAAAATGTTATACACAAAAAAGGAGCATGTATTTACAAAACCCAGCATCTCTATATATACACACACAATGAGCATCTGCAAATGAACAAGCCGTTACACTTGAGTGCACACCCACCCGCTCTGACTGGGTTCGGTATCCCGGCTGCTTCGTTTCGAGGGAGGTAAACCCAAGTACAAAATATTGCACTTTTGATTTGCGATTATACGCTTATAATTTTGTTTATTTGTTTTTTCATAATCAGCAATGCATATTATATGTCATGAAGAAGTGATAATTGTGTTTTAATTATGTTTGATTTTTTGGTTGCATGTGACCTTTAAATGTTCAATTGGCGAGGTAGAATTATGAGGATTCGCAGTCTTAATTTCACTTTATTCGATTTACTTTTTCTTTTAAAATGAAATTCATCGGTACGTTTTCACTGCAAACAGACTATAGCTCCCTTCTCTCAGGAAGATGATCATCACGTTGGTTACAATTAAGGTTGTTGCCTTCATACTGATACTAGTGGATATCATTCATCATAGTGGCTTCATTTGTGAAATGATACTACCAACTTTATCTCGGTTATCTTATAACTGAGAACAAAATGTTTGCACTGTTCAGTAGTGTTGGGAATTGGTTGAAATCTCACAATTGATGATTGCTTCATTACCAACGAACAATCATCGAAAATAATTGGTTAGCGTCATTTTCTCAGATTTTTCTATTCAGGTTGTTATTGCAGATATGTATAACATGATGCAACCTGTTACTTTAAAGTGATGACTAATATATCATGAACATAAACTTCCCAGAGTCTTCAACAAATATTAAGTCATGACTTTTCAGTTAGTGAAGTAAGTTTTCTAAGAATTAAACACATTTTCAGGCCCTGACAACCTCGAATATATGTTCTATCGAATGAGTTTCAAAGACTAAAACAGTTGTTCCAAAATCGTTTGTGTTCGATTATAAGAAAACTTGGTTGTTTGGTCACTGCGACCAATCTTCGATTATTTCAATTAATCGGAACACCACTACTGTTCAGTGAAATTTTCCTGGTTATTTTTGGCATCAGACTTTTAATTATCGAGAGGTAGTCAAAACCATTTATCCTGCACTGAGAAATATAGGTTTTGTATTTTTAAAGCTCCACTTTTGAAAGCAACGATTGGGATTTTATGAAGAACAAAGTCCCCAATACTTCGTGCGAGTTAAATGGTGATTAGATGATCAGAAGTGTCCTTGTGTCCTTGTTATCATAATTTTCCACATGTTACTTTTTGCAGCAACTTTTGGGTGCTGGAGAGAGAACCTGCTTGTCCTGACCCCTAACAAGGCTCGTCTGGAGGACGGAGTGGCCAGGGAGAGGTCGTACATCGTATCCCCAGAGGACATCCATAACTTGAAGATGTGTGCTCAACTGGTGGTTCTCAACTGTGGCTACAACCCATGGAGAAGGGAGTGGATTCACAGCTTCAGTCTGCCAGCAAGCTTCTTGGCTGCAGGTACTGTAGACACTCATGTTTGTGAGTGAGTGAGTTTAGTTTTACGCCGCACTCAGCAATATTCCAGCTATATGGCGGCGGTCTGTAAATAATCGAGTCTGGACCAGACAATCCAGTGATCAACAGCATGAGCATCGATCTGCGCAATTGGAAACCGATGACATGTGTCAACCAAGTCAGAGAGCCTGACCGCCCGATTCCGTTAGTCGCCTCTTACGACAAGCATAGTCGCCTTTCGTGGCAAGCGTGGGTTGCTGAAGGCCAATTCTACCCCGGATCTTCACGGGCCCACTCGTGTTTGTCCTGTTTACGCACCAGTGTTGTTCTGATACTGTTACTGTTTACTTTCGTGAAAATCGGGCAAAACTTAGAAAAATACTGAATAGCTGCTGAAAACAATAGATCAGACTATAAATGGCAATTAGGTCGCCTTCAGCCAGGTATGACGGCGGACCGTCCGACTCACCTGGCATAGGAAATGCACGTATGCTGCCTACAGGCACAAGGGGTCATCTCAAAGATATTTTGTGCTTTTTCATGTGTGTTGACTATGTCTCATCTACTGATTAACATCTTACGTGTCTTTCTTTCATAAAGTTTATGTTGAGATATGTAAGAGAGTATGATACCGAAACCATAGAAACGCATCGTAGTATATAGGTGGCATGACCAGCCCGAAGATCGACAGGACTGGATATTATTTGTAAATTGTTATGACGTGCTGTGTACCTCCCCAGTATAATTGCCCTAAAGGTTTATCTTATCTTAGCTGATATCTCTCTATCCCCAAGCCCGACCCCAGGTTTTGCTTTTGAGGAGACCCCTCCTATCTGTTTCTTTTTATAGTGACAGTGAGACTGCATGGTAGCTACATCCTTAATAGTTTCAGCATAAAAGTTATTATTTATTTCAGCTATGATTTATAATGAATCTATGTCTAATTTCAAATTGGGCATTTAAAAAGTGTCCTTTGTAATACAATATCGTCGCACACTAATTTGCATAAAGCCAGGGTCTGTTCCAAATAAGTCCTTTGGGACTTAGAAAAAACCCGCATTTCTCATTTCTGCACTAATTTCCCCTCAGTAAAGTCCTTTTCTCCGTTTCCTATCTCTCTACCACTGAGACTGTAGTTAGGCTGTTCTGTATTTTTTGTTCTCCAGGGGCCCAGTGTGTAATGGTGACCCAGTGGCAGGTAGCAGATAATGCTATGGACAAATTCTATCATCACTTCTACATGTCACTGCAAAATGGCTGCCTGCTGTCTGATGCGGTCCGGACTGGCATGGAGGCTGTCAGACATGATGACAGGTCAGTGGGATATGACGTCATACATACCAGAAACAAAGCCATTGTGTCAGAACGTGCCGGTTTACTAGGCCTAACCTGTGATTGAAAGTCATATATTCCATGGCATGAATAGAGAGTATGTTATGGGTGTTAATAGACAATTTTGGAAGGCTGTTTTGCAGATGCAGAGCAGAGTGAGTGAGTATGGTTTTACGCTGCTTTTTAGCAATATTCCAGCAATATCACAGCGGGGGACACCAGAAATGGGCTTCACACATTGTACCCATGTGGGGAATCGAACCCGGGTCCCTTATGAACGGCAGAGCGGCGCTTAACTACTGCTACTCCCACCGCTTCTGCAGAGCAGAAGTCTACATGATTTTAGGCCATTTTGATAAATGTTTTTAAAGACTTTCATCAAAGCTGACTGTCAGTCTCAATTGTCTCAAGCCTCAGAATTTCTCTTCTGTGGAAATAAGTCACTGGGTGAGATAGAGATAAAGGACTGGGTGAGATGGAGCTGAAGGACTGGGGTGAGGAGATGAGTGACTGGGTGAGGAGATGAAGGACTGGAGTGAGGAGGATGAGAGACTGAGGTGAGATGAGAGACTGGGTGAGGAGCAGATGAGTGACTGGGTGAAGAGATGAGAGACTGGGTGAGGAGATTAAGGACTGACTGAGTGAGATGAGAGACTGGGTGAGGAGATGAGAGAGACTGGGTGAGGAGATGAGTGACTGGGTGGGAGATGAGAAACCGGGTGAGGACATGAGAGACTGGTTGACATAGAGAGATGAGAGACTGGGTGAGGAGATGAGGACTGGTTGAGATGAGGAATGAGACAGAGATGAGAGACTGGAGTGAGGAGATGAGATGGAGATGAGAGACTGAGGGATGAGGAGATGAGAAACTGGGTGAGGAGATGAGAGACTGGTTGACGTGAGAGATGAGAGACTGGTTGATGAGGACTAGAGATGAGAGACTGGGTGGAGATGAGATGAGGAGATGAGAGACTGGGTGAGGAGATGGAGTGATCGGGAGAGGAGATGACTGGGTGAGGAGGATGAGAGACAGGTTGACACAGAGATGAGAGACTGGGTGTGGAGATGAGAGACTGGGTGAGGAGATGAGATGACTGGGTGAGGAGATGGGTAGAGGAGATGAGAGACTGAGTTGAGATGAGAGATGACTGAGAGATGAGTGACTAAGGTGGAGATGAGAGACTGGAATGAAGGAGGAGATGGAGAGACTGGTGACTGGGTGAGAGGAGATGAGACTGGGTGAGGAGATGAGAGACTGGGTGAGGAGACTGAGATGGGTGACTGGGTGAGGAGATGAGAGTGACTGGATAGAGACTGGGTGAGAGATGAGATGAGTGACTGGATGAGGTCGAGGGATGGGATGAGAGACTGGGTGAGGAGATGAGAGACTGGGTGAGAGATGAGGACAGGATGAGACTGGGTGAGGAGATGAGACTGAGGAGATGAGGAGATGAGAGAGATGAGTGACTGGGTGAGGAGAGATGAGATGAGTGACAGGGTGAGAGGAGATGAGAGACTGGTTGACATAGAGATGAGAGACTGGGTGAGGAGATGAGTGACTGGGTGAGGAGAGATGAGAGACTGGGTGAGGAGATGAGATGAGTGAGGTGAGGAGATGAGTGACTGGGTGAGGAGATGAGAGGACTGGGTGAGAGAGATGAGAGACTGGGTGAGATATGAGATGAGATGAGAGAGACTGGGTGAGGAGATGAGGTGGGGATGGAGATGAGAGACTCTGGTGAGATGGAGATGAGAGACTGGGTGAGATAGAGATGAGAAACTGGGTGAGATAGAGATGAGAGAATGGGTGAGATGAAGAGGAGACTGCAAGAGCTGAGGTTGCAGCTACGTTACAGGCCAGTATAAATGTCATGAATGTCCATTTCCTGTTGTTACAGGTTCAGGCATGTGTACAACTGGTGCCCATTCATTCTGATCGGGAAAGACACTGAGGTGAGCATCAACCAGATCCGCCATGCAATGCTGGACCAAAAGCTGGACAACACTGAAGCCACTGTTGAGAAGGAGACCGGTCAAGAGTACCTCAACCCCAGGAATGTCGTAGCACATGGTGAGTACACACCACTTCTTCACGACATGTTGTTATGTGTTGTTCTCAATTGACAACTAAAAGGTTAACCAGATGTCAGTATGTAGAGAACCAGGTGTGATACCAACAAACAAACAAATGTGCTGCAATTAACAATTGTATTCTAAAATTAGGCCAGACCAATTCTATTTCTTGTTTTACAGATTTTTGTCCCCAGAAAACCTAAAGGCAGGAGTGAAAAAAATATAAAAATACAATCACCAGTCAAAGTAATATTCCTTCTAAATGCTAAAAGTATTTTACTTTTGGCAATTTATGAAGTGTATATGGGGCAATAAACAATATAAAATAATTTTCTTGTAAGTTTACATTTTTGACTAATAAAAACATTAGGATTTTATTTTTTGAGCGGGGAAATTTAATTTTTATTTTTTTTCTTATTTGTGAGAAAATATGACTGGCGGATCTGTAAAACAAGAAATAAAATGGGCCTGGCCTTAATTAAGTTCAGAAATTGATACAGATGTCTACAATGTTTTCATTATGGCGTTATCAAACACAGTGAAGTACAATTTCAGAGATAAAAAATATATATTGCAGTGATTACAGCAATATAGACTGACAACTTCACCTTATAGATTTAACACTAATCCATCTTGGAAGAAGGGCAGTGATTATCCCGGGTGTGAAGTGATCACTCAAAATGCTGGTCTCCTTGTGACTTGATGTAATGTGAGATGAGAGGCAATAGCTAGCTCCCAATATACTCAAAAATGAATGGCTAGAAAAATCTAAAATATTCTGTGCGTCAAAGGAGGGTTCTAGTACATTCCAGCGCTCTGTCCAACTATAGTACAAGTCTACATACAGGGCACCACTGGCCCTCACCGACTCTACAATATATAACAGGTGAAACATTGTTGCACAACTGCTTCATAACAATGTCAGGAACTGGAGGGGCGGTGGGGTAGCCTAATGGTTAAAGCGTTGGCTCGTCACGCCGAAGACCCGGGTTCGAATCCCCACATGGGTACAATGTGTGAAGCCCATTTCTGGTGTCCCCCGCCGTGATGTTGCTGGAATATTGCTAAAAGCGGCGTAAAACCAAACCAATCTTTAGTCTTGACCCTCACTCACACCCAAACTGGATCAATTGCATGTTGTAACTGACATCTCCAATTTTGCAACATTCAAAAAGTATGCCAAATTAGTACAAATGTTCATGCAGGGCTCGATTTAGTGCTTTGTTACTTGCACTTGTGCAACCCAATATTATAAAGTGCAACCTAGTTATTACTCTAACTTGCACCAGGTGCAAGTCAATTTCTGAGTGGGTAAACTGCTGAATAAAACATCTAAGTAATTCAATAGCATATTTCTTTCTTTACATATTGCAATAAAAGCAGTGCAACTGGAATTTGGCTGGTGCAACTATGTTTTTATCTTAGGTTGCACCTGGTGCAAGTAGGTTAACATCTCTTAAATGGAGCCCTGACATGTGTATTTTACATGTAGCAGTGCTGCAGAAATATAGAACATTGTTTGATGTACTAGAGCAGGCCATGACATGAGCTCACCTTTCTTTGACCTTCACATGTTGTTGACCTCCTAGTGCCAACAAAGGCAGGGAGAACTGGTTTGAGAGTCTCCTAGCTGACCTGCTAGCTCACAGTGATATTTCATATGAAGTTGTTGACCTCTCCTCCCACGTTACACCATCTTCCCCAGCAGCAGCCGTAAAATCCCCAGGGCATCCTTGGATCTCCTTCTTTCTATCCAATCAGACCTGGTCAGTGGCTGTACATGTGTCAAATATCCCCATCTAGTTGACCGTTTAATGCTAGCTTGTCCGTTGTCAATGAGGGCGATGGAGCGCCACTGAGCCATAACATGACTGATATTTCATATGAAGTAATTACCGATTTTCACTTTTAACCATGATTGAACTAAATGATTGCCTCCAATCACGCGAGTCTTGCACACCATGAAATGGGAGTATTAGAACAAATTTATTACAGGTCTCTGTGGAAGAGAATGCTTCTCCCAATGTGCCTTATATAAATGTCCCAGATCTCAGCTCATGCAAAGATCTCAGGACATCTCATTCCAGCTTACGTCAGACTACTCCTTCAGTTGACCAGTCAGAGCATCACTTAGCAGAGTAAACAGTTTAAGAGAAAGTCTTGATATATTTTCTAATCATAAACGCTCAAAAGATTCACATGTGGCATCCAGAATGACAGTTACGGGCTGTATTGACTGATAAACGCTTGAAACTGAAGCCCATGGAAAGTACTGCCATGCAATCCAGAATTTTCTTTTGTTAAGCTTTCAAATTATTTACTGTCAAACTATTTTTCAAAGCAGAGTCTGAAATGGAACTTTCCATTCTGAAACCAGAGCCATATACCTTGTGAAAGCTGCTTTGTGATTGGCTAATTTCGAATTCCTGCTTTAATTATTTCATTGGTCAGTCAAAGTATGTGAAAGATCCTTCTGACCGATAATGGGATGTCCTTGTGTCTTTGGACAGTGGTAGCAGTTGTAAAATCTGATTTGAAAAGATTGGGGCATCCTTTTCTCAGGCTTTTGTTTGAAATAGATCAGCGACAGATTGCATATCCCCATTCATATTACAGTGTTGGATCAGGCTGGAAGACTACATACATGTCCTTGTATCCAGATGATATGGGAAATGTTGCTGATGCATGATAGCTGAAACATTGCCGAACATGGCATTAAAAACAAACCCAAACTAAATCACTTACGAATGCCTTGTGTTTCCAGCTGGATGCTGCCCTGAAGCGTCTCCACACAGAGGACAACAACAAGCAGACGTCCAATCTGTCGGCGGAGCTGACCCAGGGGAAGGGGATAGTCCCTCTGCTGACGATGCTGGGCTTCCACTTCCAGGCTATGGGGGCCTCTCTGTCCGCCCCCTACATCATCTACCCCCACTGGAACAAGGATGAGATGCTCATACCAGCCTACGATGCCCTCAGAGCCCTCACAGGTGGGTAATACAGTAACATAGGGTCCCTGCTGTGGAATATTTGGCCCTGGTGCTTCCGCTGAAATATGGGGCTTCAACTGTTAAAAGTGGTCATTTGACATTATGAAATCAAATTGATTTTTATACTGAGAGCTGTGTATGAATAATTATGGGCTGGGATAGGAAGACCAAATCTTAGCTGTAATTTCTCGAATTGAGTTCACTCTAACCTGATGGCCTTCTCTAGATACAATCAAGGCATGCTGTAACATCCTTGAATAATTTACACATAATGTTTGGCTGCAGACATTGTTGGGAATGCTGAGTGCAGCCAGACCCTGTGTGACATACTGCCTCTCCAACAGGATCACATCTCGCTGCTGGTCGACCTGGTGAGTAGCTAGTAGATGCAGTCATTGTGTTGGGTTTCATAAATATACAGTGAGACATCTTTAGTCTTGACCCTCAGTGACGCCCAACAGGATCACATCTCGCTGCTGGTCGACCTGGTGAGTAGCTAGTAGACGCAGTCATTGTGTTGGGTTTCATAAATATACAGTGAGACATCTTTAGTCTTGACCCTGTGACGCCCAACAGGATCACATCTCGCTGCTGGTCGACCTGGTGAGTAGCTAGTAGATGAGTCATTGTGTTGGGTTTCATAAATATACAGTGAGACATCTTTAGTCTTGACCCTCAGTCACGCCCAACAGGATATCATCTCGTTACTGGTCGACCTGGTGAGTAGCTAGTAGATGCAGTCATTGTGTTGGGTTTCATAAATATACAGTGAGACATCTTTAGTCTTGACCCTCAGTCACGCCCAACAGGATCACATCTCGCCGCTGGTCGACCTGGTGAGTAGCTAGTAGACGCAGTCATTGTGTTGGGTTTCATAAATATACAGTGAGACATCTTTAGTCTTGACCCTGAGACGCCCAACATGATCACATCTCGCTGCTGGTCGACCTGGTGAGTAGCTAGTAGATCAGTCATTGTGTTGGGTTTCATAAACATACAGAGAGACCTCAACCCATGCTTGTTGTAAGAGACAACTAACAGGATCAGGTGATCAGGTTTATTGACGTGGTTGACACATGTCATTGTATCCAAACTGTTAATATAATTGTGGAAGTTTTCTATTGAATGATGTTTCAGTGAAGTTATCAGCCTGTGTGAAAAGTTGCCAGTTTTGCCAGTTGGTTCTTGTGGACATTGGCAGCTAGGAGTGATCAGTGAAGTGACCATGGATATTGTAATACTTTCTTTGTGTTGTCCAGATGAGCATCACAAGACATGCTCCAGAACTTCAGCTCAAGGTCACTGACCTTTCTGTGCGACCTCTGTGGCAGAACACCAAGGTGAAGAAACTGCTGACATCAGCAGGTTTCCACCAGATTGGCCTCTTGCTCAACTTTAACAAAGTTCCAGCCAACAAGTAAGAGAATTGGGAGTTCCGTTCAGTACAGTTCCGTTCAGTACAGTTCCATGCAGTTAAAGTCGTTTAAGTCACTAATACAAAATACTTTTTGGACTTCCTCTTTACAGTTTTTGGTTTTGTGTCTGTATAAACTGGGTTTTAAATGGCATCATGGATATAGCTATGAAGTATAAGTTGAAAGCCAAACCAAATCATCAACAGTACACATGCTATAAACTTCTTGGAAACATTTTGTAGATATTGTGTACTCTACTGTGGGGATAAGCTTGGTCCCGATCCACAAAATGTTCATAGGCTGTTACAAGCTGTCGTGAACTATACTGGCCATATAAAGAAACTGTGCACACAGAAAATATAAAGATAGGCAGACAGCGTCTTTATGCATAAATAAAGGTGTGAACATAGCAAGTATTGGAGACAATCAAACGCTTCATGCAGGTGCAGGCTGACGTGACGTCATTGATCGCGGGCCTATGGACTTGCAATGTGTTACTGCACGTGCAGCCCTGTGCAGCTGCACACAACATGTGAAACTCAGAAATTGATGTCACTGTCGAAAGCTTGATCTTTGGTCATTCAAACGTTCACAAATTCACATGAAAAGTCACATGCACATCATGCCAAGATTAACATGTGCTCAACGTCATGAAGCCATTGAATGGTTCGAGCAGGCATGAGCCAACAACAGGTGGCAGCACATTTCCAATGCCATCGTAACATGATATCTCCATTGGTCAGGCGTTAGGGAAACAGTAATGACGTCACGACCACCCACGCTTTGGGCGCCCCCGGTAACGACGCGCAAGACAGGACATGGATGGATTCGGGTGACTCATATCAGACACAGGTTTGTGGCGGTGACCACGCCCCAAACCATTCCCCAGGCCTTCATTTGGAAAATTTGGTAGCCTCTATGCGTCGTCGATGCACTGCTGTGCTTCACGCGCGATGATGGTCATACCCGTTTGTTGACTTTGTGACTTCAACGTGTGCCCCCGACTAAATTTTGAACTTCTGACGCCATCGTTACAGATATTGTTCATGTTCTTTTGACATGTTGTTGAGGCCCCGATACTTCAGCTTATAAAGTGTATACATCATGTCGTCTTTTTCTGTGTTGTATTCCAATTCTGAAGAATTTTCTGTGTGCACAGTTTCTTTATGTGGCTAGTATATATAGTTTATCATAGGATTATGAATTACATAGTGCTATGAACACTTTGTGGAGTTGGACCCAGATCACTTGCAAACAGAGTAAATACAAAATAGTGATCTGGTTGCCTGTGCATAGTGATTTAGGGGACCCGATCTTATTAAAATGAGATCTTTTACTCTGATTTGAAACCTCTCTGTCAAGATGTCTCTCTGACTCAACCCTCACATTAGGGCAGTCTAAGTAAATTAGCCTCAGTATTATTCGTTACACTACTTATACTGAGTCTAACAACCCTAGTAGAAGGTCGCATCAGCTAACCTTTTCAATTGACCAATCAGAACACAGCTTACCAAATCGTGAAAGTTGACATTCGCACATACCTTTTGAACTTTTACCTAGAAAAAGTTTGTACCCGAACGATTCCGAATGCTTTTTTCCGTACGATCGATTCCGAGTGATGCACATGGAGCACGCCACAACAGTGAGTAAACAGTTGCTGAAAAGATTGTTTTCGTCAATATTCAAGGATGTCAGCTTGCGGAAATATTAGCCCTAAGTTTATATACTGCAGGTCAAATATCTGTGTTTTATGCGGATTTTCGTTTGTTGAGAGATCAGTGTCAGTGACCGAGGGGAATTTTGTAAGTCCCTAAACAGTAGCCGTTGTCTGATTGGTTAAATCCGTTCGGCCATCTCTCATTTGATTGGACAGTCATAGGTCGCTCAAAGGTTAGCTGACACGACCTTCTACTAGGTTTTGTTAGTCTCAGTATAGCAGTGTAACGAATAATACTGAGCCTAAGTTTACTTAGACTGCACGTTAGGGTCAAGTCATGCATCAGGAGTTTGAGGGATCATCAAGATCATGATTTTTGCATATAGAAGATGAACTGGCAGTTCTGAATGAAAACCAAGAAGATATTTTCTTTAGGCTAGGTTTTGGCATGTTTGCTCACAGTTCAACTGATGTGACCTCCAATACAGAGTTTGTTGATGGAGAGAGGTACTAAACTGGAGTAAAGGTGAATCTTGTCCTTTACCTTGTTAACATTGATGATCACTCTCTTGTCCCCAGGCAGCTGTTGACGTCCCTGCTGCAGCTGTTGTTGGCTGTCAGCTGTCACAAGAGCCAGGTGCTACTGTACCGCCTGGACGTCAACCTCCTAGGTCGATCCCCCAGCCCGGGCAGACAGGTAGGTACTGCACAGACACCACAAAGGTATAGGTACTGTACAGAATAGACCTCATCTTTCTTGGATGGTCACCTGGTCCTTCGAATAAAAGCTGGACAAACACAGCAAGCATGTAGCACTTGGGACCTTTAGCCATTCATGGGGACCTAATCTACCTGGTTATAACTCAGTCATTTTATCTGTGAAGATAATTATTGTCAGTGACAGCTGATCGCCATTCCATGTAAGATCTGACAGTAAGTGATAGATTGTATGATGTATGTTTGTGTCTTTCCACGAGCAGAACTCTAAAACTGTTCAATATTTCTTCACCAAACTTGGCACATAGATAGATCTGGTGGTGTACTGGTGCCCTTTTGATAGTTTTGGAATTTGAATAAAATATTTTTGACGTTTCCATGGCAACAAGTTTGACTTAGCCTGAAATTGTGGTAGTGCTCTTTTCCGGAGCAGAACTCTAAAACTGTTCACTATTTCTTCACCAAACTTGGCACATAGATAGATCTGGTGGTGTACTGGTGCCTTTTGGTAGTTTTGGAATTCTGAATAAAATATTTTTGGCGTTTCCATGGCAACAAGTTTGACTTAGCCTGAAATTGTGGTAGTGCTCTTTTTCGGAGCAGAACTCTAAAACTGTTCACTATTTCTTCACCAAACTTGGCACATAGATAGATCTGGTGGTGTACTGGTGCCTTTTGGTAGTTTTGGAATTTGAATAAAATATTTTGGCGTTTCCATGGCAACAAGTTTGACTTAGCCTGAAATTGTGGTAGTGCTCTTTTCTCGAGCAGAACTCTAAAACTGTTCAATATTTCTTCACCAAACTTGGCACATAGATTGGTCTGGTGGTGTACTGGTGCCTTTTTGGTAGTTTTGGAATTTTGAATAAAATATTTTGGCATTTCCATGGCAACAAGTTTGACTGAAATTGGTGATAGTGCTGCTTTCTGAGCAGAACTTTAAAAACCTTTCAATACTCTCCTTCCACTTTTCTATATACACACCTAAATATTTCTATATACACACCTAAATATTTGACATAATCATAACTCGTAGACATAATCATGAAGAGTATTTTGCCATTGTGGGGATATTGATGACTTTGTCTTCTTTGTTACGGTATACATCAACATTGTTGGCTGAGAATCAACATTGTTTGATGGTCATTAATTCATTAACAAAACAACATAATACTTGAATAAACGGATATAGCTTAACTAAATTTCTTGGTCCCTTGGAGTTAGAACCATATATCCATGTTCTACTGTACATCCTTAAATTCTGAATGCTGAAAGTTGTGAATAATTCCATTGAACTCACCTAATTCTGCTTCTACTGTGTCTGTGGACTTGGTGATATTTGATATGTTGACCAATATTTGCAGCTGCGTGTATGAGCACGCCGTGGCTTGGCTACAGCACTGTGGAGCGGAGGAAGAGATGGTGCAAAGATGAAGCTGGCTCGCAGGTACAGCAACACAGGGGAACACGTGACTTCACTGACTTGTCTTCTGTTGGGGCAACAATGGTTGCATGTGTGGGCAGAATAACCATAGCTACATTTAACTGAGAAGTGTGCTAAACTGTGCAAACATTAAATCATAAAATTAATTTGATCATTACAAATAGTAGTAGTATTGTGTTGTGAGGATAGAACAGTTCCACCATGTGGCCCACCAGGGGTCTGGCGGTAACATTGTATTACTGCAAAAATTGGGGTCATGAAGCAGATAGAGTGGACCGTTGCTCTAGTTTTGGCAGGCCCAGATTAGATGATTTTCAGCCTGGAATATTTCTGACTGTATAATTTAATATTCACCCACTCCCTCATAATGATCATGGTTTTAGTTTAAACTGAGGATACCCGTGAAGATCCGGGTTAGAATATTGATCTTCAGTAACACATGCTTGTCGTAAGAGGCGACTAACGGGATCGGACGGTCAGACTCGCTGGCTTGGTTGACACATATCATCGGTTCCCAATTGCGCAGATCGGTACTCATGTTGTTGATCACTGGATTGTCTGGTCAAGACTCGATTATTTACTGACCGCCGCCATATAGCTGGAATATTGCTGAGTGCGGTGTAAAACTAAACTCACTCACTCACTTAAACTGATAATGAGACCATGAATGATGGGGATCATGTTAAAGGGAGATAACTGATGACAAGTACTTCCTGTTTCAGCAAGTCTAACCTGGACGAAGACTTCCAGGACTACCTGGAGAGGGCCAGAACCTGGCACCAGATGACGGTCACAGCTCAGGTGGGTTCAGCTGGATAACATTTACACAGAAACTGTTAATGCAGGTATAAGCTCATCTAGTGCCTCCAAATGATGTCATTTATGGCTTGGACAATATAATGATTTAATTTGACCAGATTTCATTTAATGGGTATAAATATCCAGAAAATAGTTCAGAATTGGTTACTTCGTTTGGACAGGTAAACATCAAGCTTTTTTCCATTCGGAGCGGTGGGGTAACCCAGTAGTTAAAGTGTTTGCTTATCATCCTATGATATTGCTGGAGTATTAATAAAAGCGGCGTAAAACCATACTCACTCACTGAATGTGTGCAGGTCCACCGTGGAATGATTTGGACCAATCCTTGACAGTCATTTATGTATTAAAACAATGAAAATTGTAATCATATAACTGTTAAAATGTAATTATAAACCATATGTTGGTTAGTATTTGGAAGTCATGTACTGCATTTTTCATACCGGTACATTATTGTCTAAAATAATTATGTCAGCATAATAAGGGGTCAAACCTCACATTATGATGGACACAGGGGCTCAGTCCTCGAAGGTGCTGCTTGTAGAGTTGTGTCCCTTGAGTTGTCACCAGGGATCAGATCCCCCTTTCACTCTGGTTAATAGGCTGTCAGCACCATCCATACAAATGGACGTTGAAGAAAACTGCAGCATTGACCTGAAGCTGGATTTGCTAATATTATAACAAGATCATGGAAACTGTACATATATTATGTAAAACAAAAATAACAGCCATAGCAGTTCTTCTGTCTACTGTCCAATCCTCCACACTTGGCCCCACTTGAGAATGTCTGGCCCATGATATATACTTAATATGATCTTGTGTCTTGTCTTGACATACAGAAGAAAGAGGTGAGTGCTAGTGTTGTGATAATAGAGGGTGAATTAAAAGTTGGTGTTATTTTTTCGTATTATATTGATGTTTTTTGTACAAAAGTATCAATTATTTATAATTAGCCTTTGTGTGACATGTGGAGTACATGTTGTAATGAAATGGTGTTATTCAGAAGGTTTGGGTATCATTTGACTGAGATTATTTTTGACCTTTATAGTGAACAGTACATTTGTATTGGTGTGCTTTTAGTTGTTTCCTCATCATTTAAAATGTATGTAGCATCCTTTTTAAAAATGTCATTTTGGTTTCCTAGATACAAATGGTTCAAACTTTGGTTTCCTAAACATGTGTGGGGTAGAAGCTATTGTGTATAATTTGTCCTGGACAAGGTGCTTCACCTTGATCTTGACCTGCTTGCAGTTTACTCCTACATGAATTGAAAATGTTTTAATCCATTCAAACCCTGATTAGGGAAAGTTCATAACTTATAGCTAGGGAGGGTGATGATGATTGTTTGGGGGAATCACCCATTTTGTTCTATGGAGGTTGGGGGCGTCATCAATTTTGTACACATATACTTATTTGGGTCAGCTTACTGGGGGGGAGGGAGGTGTTCCACTTACTTTGTTTATACATTTTTAGGCAGGAGGAGGTCATTCACATGCACACACATACACACACACACGCACACGCCATGAATTTGGAACAGTCCTGTATGCAGACTGTCGGGTGGTGAGGCTTGCTGGCTTGATTGAGGCATGTCAATCACTGGGTTGTCTGGTCCAGACTTGTTTGATTGTTTACAGTATGTCACATATAGCAGGAATACTGCTGAGTGGCATTAAACAACAAACACACACAGACAATAAACGAAACACTATACAAACACAGATCAGTATAAACAAAACTCCATTCAGTGAGTTCCTGCGATGGAAGAGGGGAAAGTGAGGGTCAATAAATGTTTGAAATTTGAGTAGTAGTAGTGGTAGTGGAATTGGGTTTAACGTCGTACTTGAGAATATTTCGGCTCATATGGCGATGCTAGCTTATGCGTGTGTGTGTGTATGCGGCTGCTTGTATGACTGAAGCTGGTTTTATAGTGAGCCCACTGAGAAAACTAAGCTGGAAATAGCAGTCCTTGTTGTACCCATGCTGGACATCTTTTGGTATGGCCAGCGGTCAGGATCGAACAGCGACCTTTTTCTCCCAATCATGAAATATACTAGTTATGTTTTCTCCCTGTTAAAAACACAAAAGCATAACACAAAGAAGGTTGACACAGTGGGCGGAATATATTGTACCCGAAACTAATTTTGAATCACGAAATAATATATTCCAATATCATGGTAGTTTAGTTGCAGTGTATAAATTATTTATTATTTATAAGTATACCACTAAGGTACGACTGATTCTGATGTTCAGTTCAAGGCTAAATATTGAAAAATTTGCTCGTGGTTAGTATACATAACTGTGATTTGTCGATCACTCATGATTTCGCCAAAATTAATGTAAGCAATATTGACTGAAATGTTAAATAAAATTAATAAAATCGAATTCAAACATAAGTCCAGATGCACAGGGAGCATATTCTTTATAACCAGTTTGTCTAATGACATCAGTAAATTATCACTGAGATCATATGATACCCGCCCACTTTCATCTTGTTGGCGGGATGATGAATTGGTACAGAAACCAGCATCATCAAGCCTTGTTATTATTCAGCAAGTGGAAAACAACAGTGTGTAGTTTCCACTGCTGGTAATTGGATTTCACTGCCCAGATTTGAAAGCTGGATTGTCGGTTAAACAATGTAGAGTGTAGAAGCCGTAGTGGCTGAGCAGGTTAGACTTTGTGGGCTGGCGATTAGTTGCCTGACTCTGGGGGTGTGGGTTCAAATCCCTGATGGGACTCAACCCAACAAAAGTACTAGAATCTGTACTTTACTAAAAAAAAGTGGAATCCCAAATATAACATATTACATTTGACCACTTTTTAAATGGGATTGTGTATTCATAGTGTTTAATTCGTTTCATTTAAATATATTGTCCTGTATGCAAGGTTTCTTGATATCTGGGGTCTGGAAAAGTGGGGTTCCATTATATAAAAGATGAACTGTGCAAGGACACCATATTGCCCATGAACATCTAACAACAGATCCTGACTCTTCTCATGGCGGTGAAGTCTGTGGTAACTAGTGGTGATCCGATTAACTGAAATAATCGAAGATTGGTCGCAGTGACTAAACGACCAAGCAATCGATCATGTTTTCTTATAATCGAACACAAACAATTCTGGAACACTTGTTTTCATAAACAATATTTTTCACAAGGTTGGTTTTGTCTGTTACATTTCATAAGCACTATAAGCTCGTTCCAAGTCATGATTGAATTTATCTTAAAGACACCAAGAAATTTATGTTCCTAACATACTAGTCATCCTTTAAAGATGTGAAATTTTGCCAAAACCCCCCAAAATAACTATAAGTTTTTTTCCTTATTTTTTTGTGCATTAACAAATTTCATAAATGACGCTAACCAATTATTTTCGATGATTGATCGGTGGTAATGAACCAGTCATCAATTATGAGATTTTAACCAATTCCCAACACTAGTGGTAACTACAGACACTGGCTATATCTGTCTCTGCCGGGCATTGACCGGTACTGAACATTCCTTCATAACACCCTTGATTGTACCATTTATGAATCTGTAATTTAATAAGTAAAGCATCTAATGGAAACATAAAGACTCTTTGAAAGATGAACATGCAGGCAGGTGTTTTCTGGTTTCATAGCAGTATAATTTGAAGATTTTTCATGATAAAAATTTTGAAAAAGAATTTTAGGATTATTACTTTTCAGTTTGTTGTAATTATGTATACCTGTAACTATGACATTTCCAGCTGTCTGTGATATGGTCTGATGATGGGATATGTTTGTCAGTGGTTCTTTAAAATGTGTCTGAAAGTGCTCTTAAAGTCAACTCTGCTTGCTGCTGGATGAAATCTTAACCATGGGCAGATCATTACTAATACAGAGAGACTAATACACAGTGGTCAATGACAGCTTGAATTCTGCTTTTAAAAAAATAAAGTACATTTTATTGCTTGTCTTTACACTTCTTCTTCGCGAACATAGTGGAACACGTGTATCTCCCAATTGAAGTTCCCTTCAATTAAAAATCACTAATTAGCACTCACCACGGAGTTACCTCCCCTTACACAAGGCTTGGGAGCGGGCGCCACCTCAACCCATGTGCCTCACTCTCTCTCCTTCTTCGCTGAGTGAGGCTGGGCGTGAGAACACCTGTGTCTCCGACACACTATATCCTTTATTTATATTTAGTTTAGTACCTCTTATATTCATTTATAGAGGTGTAACTAGTAGCCTTATTCAACTTGCATTGATTATTAGTCGTGTTTCTGCTGTTTTATTCACGGTTCGCCGTGTTTGTTCAACAGTTTATGTTAATGAGAATCTGCACAGGTTGTAAACTACGTTATTCCGCTACCGATCCACATTTAAAATGCCCTAGTTGCATTTCTCCATGTTCTACTGTTTCTCGTTGTAAATTATGTATTAATTTACCAATTTCTGCCTTTGATAAATATTTATGTTCCGTTTTGAGACGGAAGGCAGATAAATCTCGGAAACAATCTTCAGTCATCAGCTAATAGATCGAGTCAGATATATCCTGGGTTACCTTCGGGGATGGCGTGGGACGCAGTCCGCTATATATCCTAGAAGCTGACCTGCATCCCAGGGCGTTCCTTCATCACAGTCTAAGACTAGAAGAGCTTCCACGTCGCCTCCAGCGCATCGCTCTGAACCCCAGGTCTACAGCTTCGCCAAAAAGGAAATCCACGAAGGCTACTAAAAACTTTGCTTCTGATATTCAGAATTATGTTTATATGATGATGACATTCCGATTATCATTCCAGATGTGCATCATAAGAAGTGACTAGTATCGCTACCGTCACTTCAGCGCCAGATCAACATGTGCAACCAGAGATGCCTGCGGCTTACGCCGGAGATTATAACTGAGGGTCCCGTCGCTATCACAGAGAGGACACCCTCAACGCCAAGCGCAGACCATCTCAGACGACCTGGTCAACCAAATCATGAGACTGATGGATGACCGTTACGGTTTACAGAGGCCCCAGGAGAGCCACGG